TCCTTTCTGTATCTTTGTTCATGCAGTCTTCGATATCAATACACCTAGCTCCTGGAGAGTGTTGTTCACTTAGTTGGTTATTGCGAAAGAGTTTCTCTTCACCATGGAAATGATTCTGCGATCATCCACCACTGTTGTCCTCCGTGGATGTTCAGGTGTTTTTGTGTCGCTGAGTTCACCAATGTTTTCTGTCTTTCTCAGCATGTACCAAACTGTAGATTTTTCTACTAATATTGTAGCAATTTCTTGGATGGATTATATTCTGTTTTCGCAGCTCACAAATGTCTGTTTCATCTGCACGGAGAGCTCCTTTTTACTCAAAATGTAGTAAAAATGGTATGTTGTTCAGGAAGTACGTGCTCTCACTTGCACATTTACAAAATGCTCAAATACATTTTTTGTGTGACCTGAGATCAAACTTGACCTTCAATCACTGATGATACTACTGCACATAGGCTACATACATTTTCTTTACAAAAACATAGTGCTGAATTTATATCGAGCATTTTAATATTTTCTCCGTCGCTCTCATATTATGAACTCAGCATGAAGCTCGTTAGGGAGACGGTTGTAGCAGAAGTGAGAAATATTGCGTAAGGTGACCTCATTGGGTAGGAGCTTTTAGCTCTGCTGACAGACAGAAAAAGAGAGCAACAGACAGCTGGACAGACAGACTGCTGGTCTCCTCCGAGCTTCATTAGGAACACGATTCATCTTCCTCTGATTTTGTTGTCACCCCCATTTTGGCCTCTGAGGTCATTTATGGTGTCTTTTTTCACTAAAGCTGCAGCACCGAAAACGTGCAAGCACAGGTGTGAAGTTTGTATGTCAGGATGCATGTTTACGTGCATGTGTGTTCATGTGCAAACTTGTTTTGAATGTGTTAAATGAGACCTGGGAGTGGACCAAGAGTGTTTGTGTGCACATAGTGAAGAATGGTGAGAGGCTGTTGACTTAAAGATGATTTTAAAGGGCAGTGTGAGGTTAAAGGTTAAAATTAATTTTAGGTTTAGGTTATTAAAGACAGTTAGAAGATCAACATATGTATATGTGAGTAAAT